CACATCCTTCACATGTGAAATTTCTTAAGGCTTAGCAAGCTACGAGAAGCAGCTACCAAGTACAAAGGTCGTAACAAGAAGAGATAATTGTTTGCTTTACTTTATCATTTACTGTTATACATTTTAAGAAAAATAAGTTAAAGAACTTATTTCTAAATAGTAATAATGTATATACATATATAATGTATAATAATTGAAATGTGACTGTATTTTACAAAATACTAGTCCACTAAAACACAGCCAAGACAGGTTACTTTGTGAAGACTAAAGATCAGTTTTATATTATTTACTATGGTAACATGAGTGCATGTGTGCTGCATCATTGTAACTTCTGTATTATTAGCCAGGCAAGGCTGAAAGGCAATATAATAAATATATATAAATGTATTGTTACGTCTCTGTTCGTTTGTTAATTACTCGTAAAAATTCTTTCCGAAGAACTTCAGTGATACAAGTCCTTTCTCAAATAAAACTAGTTTATTCTTTCTCAATTCAACTTTGCAATACACTTAATTTCCACAGTCACCTTAACACATGCTATAATTTACAATGAACGATTCACGCACTTTACTTGCTACCGCGCTTCACTTACAAGGCCGGTTAAATTGACAGACCTTGTATAGTTAGGGTAGAGAAAATAACAGATAAAATATAAAGTTTTACTAAAAACAAATGTTTGAAATGTATTTAGGAGGTTTTAGAGATTACACAAATATTTGAGATTTTTGGAACAAAGAATAGTTTTTAATAATGACATGAAAATCACTTCGCACTCCGACTGGTAATGAAACAGACTCGATATTTTCACAAACAAATCTTTAGTAAAAATATTTCATTAAAGATCTGATTTTTTGGGTACAAAAGACTTGGAATAATTACCAAAATTCTACGAAAGTTTGTGAAGATACACGTACAGCATTAAAAGTTATAATATAAATACTTAGCATATGCAAATATGCATATGAACTCTTGTATCTTATACAGAGCCTGTTGTGAAAGGGTTAAACAAAAAATTAGTTAGGCATACGAAATTTAGCCCAATCTATCTACCACTTAACTCTTTCTTCTTTACAGAGATTTCAACCATTTCATTGTATTCTCAAATTTTAGCACATTTGTTATTCTTGTTACTTTACAAAAATTAAGATATTTTTCTTTTTTTGAATAAGTATGAATAGAATTGTGGTTGTAGAAAGAATATGGTAAATATAAGCTGAGGGGAAGTCAGTTAATTAATTCAGTGTGAAATAAGTTAAGAATTATTTGCAGCCTGGCTTATTATTACAAATGAATTAGAATAAAGAACTGTAAACATTAGAAAACTTAACATAGAACAGTTACAGAAAAACTTCAGATGCCAATAAAATGAAAATAAAAAAATCTGCATTTTGAAGTTGAAAGATTTTAAGCTTACTTTGGACAAAAATTGTTTAAAGTAATAACTAAGGTATTTTCAATTTCTCCAAATAAAGCTAAAATTTAGAAGTGAAATAAATAGTTATGCAAACTAAAATGTATCTTGTGTTGAAATTGTTTTTATTTTGGATGGAAATATTTTTTTATTGATTTTTTTTTTACTGTAGGTTCATCTAACATGTGATTTACTTAAATGTTAATTTTTATTTCCTTTTTAGTAGTACTCATTAAATGAAATCATTTTATCTTTTGACTGTTGAGGCTACTGTGTCTCAGTACTTTCTTATCTCTACTACAAATAAAATCAAACCTTGTAGAACAGTTTGGACTGTATAAATAAATGCAAGTATGTTTAAAGTGTAGCTTAAAAATCTAGACTGACAAAAAAAAATAGTTTTGACTAGGTAAATATTAGGTAATTAAAAACAAAATGACATATAACAATTTTGATTAGGTAAATAATGCACACTACTTTTGACTAAATTAAAAGCAATATGAAATACGTGTAAAGCAGTTTTAACTAGGTAAATATCAGGCTGCTATAATATTGGTGTATTTCAGGTCAAACTGAATGTGAATGCTTTTCTCCAACAATTCCACTTTGGAGTTTTTTATGCATATGTCAAATTGAAGGAGCAGGAATGCCGAAACATTGTATGGATTTCAGAATGTGTGGCTCAGCATCACAGGGCTAAAATTGATAATTACATTCCTATTTTATGATTGATAAGTCTGACTTTCATGGATATTTATATGTACCTAATGTGATCATGTGATTGCTCTAAACTACATTTTATTTGTAACTTTGATATTTAAGTGAAGTATTGGTGAGATGAATACTTCAGAGATTATAAATAACATGATGTGTGCATATTTATGCTTTTTGTTTAAGTTTATTAAAGTCATCTGATTTGCAAAATTTATCACCTTGGAAAATATATCCATTTCACCAGAGAGTTTTATTTTATTTTTCATGGAAAGATAAACGAACTTGTAACAGAAAACATTTTAGTTAATGTAAAGTTTAAAACTAACATTGTTCCCACCTTGCTATTTTAACAACATTATACTTATTATTATCCAAATGATCATGCTTGCCTCTGAAGGAATTACTGGAAGAAACAGTTGTTTTCACTATGATTTATATGAAACAAAACTAGACATCAAACATGTATTCTTATTTGTATAGTAATTAAGTATTTAAGGGTTTTTTGTATAGTTTTTGTATTTGTTTAACTTTGCTGCAAAGGATACGAGTTTTTGTTATGTGAAGTATGAGATATTAGTGAGAATAAAATTTGAAGCACATGCATCATTATAAATACCTAAATTGAAGTATTTTGCTGATTGTTTAATATTTGCTTCTTTTGAAGAATCAGAAGCATCTCTTTTTACCCATATCTCATTTTCAGCTTTACAGATTATTTGAGATTGTACCACATCACATTCACCTAGCACATGTCAAACAATGCTTGAGCTGTCCTTAAACCTAGAATTAGCGTGTTCTTTTACATTATCTCCCAGTCTTCTGACTGTTGAGCCTATGAAGGTGCTAGGACAGTTCAAGCATGGAATATTTTGTAACAGCTTAAATGAAGTGAGGCTATAGTAACTGACCTATTATTATTAATTTTTACGTGTTACCTTCCATAACAAAAAGAATGAGGTGTAGATGTTAAACATACAAATAAAATTCCTTTTTTTTATAGTTGCATTGCATGATCTTTATGTACCACTGCAAAACATTGGTAAAAACACTCAAATCCTAGAGATATAAAATAGTGAACACTTTCTGTTCAAAAATTTCAAGGTATTAGTGTAAAATTTTGCATTAAGAAAGTTGCTTTTGTTAAAAAATTGGATTCGTGTATATCCAAGAACATTTTAATATTACTTACATATAAAGAAATCCATGTAAATTAAAGTTTACTTTAATATTTTCAATAATCATATTTAGATCGCATTAGGAAAGTGTAGTTCCATACCCTTTGAACTTGAAATTTACATGATTGTTGGCTGATGTTATTGTATCTTATGAAAAGGAAGTGATTTAGTCCTGTATAAACCTATTTCTCCATATGAAGTTGTAGTATGTATTAAAATTACAAAATAAATTTAGTCCTGTCATTATTCTTTTTTTCTGAGAAGTGGTTATTTTCTCTGTATGAAATAACTTGAATAAATAAGCAATTTTTTTTCTGACGAAGCTCATCAAGTAGAAAGCACGAGATTGAAAGCAATAGATTTGTTGATGATTTGTAAAATTCCTATGCTAGTACATATCAACCACAAATAGAATCTTTTCTGCTCTGTCTGTAAATGCAGCCAATATGTACAAAAAAAAACAAAGTAATTGCAGTTTAATGATTTTTAAATTAGCATGAAACTATAATCACTAAACACCAATAATGCTTTTCTCATGTTTCATTAAATAAAACACAACCATATACATCAAAAACCTGTAAAGACTTTGTAATAGTTTATAAAATAGAATAAAACATGAAATGCAATTAATACTTTTCTGATGGTTTCTCAAACCAACTGTATATATCAAACACAGATAATGGTTCTTGATAATTTATGAAATGGCATATTACTAAGTACATGAAACACAACTACATTTATTTGAGGGCTGTTAAAGTAGAACTGTGCAAATTAAGCATATAAGTGACATTTTTAATGGCTCACTGAATAGAACAGAACTATATTCACTAAGCACAGACTTAATTACTACATATAAAGGTAATTTCTTTTTGCTATTTTTTTGTGAAAATAGAACAAAATTATATGCATCAAATACAAATAGCTTTTGTTTTTCCTTATGGTGTATAAGATAGGACAGATTGAATACACCATAAGAGTATAATAGATTGTTTGTTAGTTCATTACTATGCATTATATATGTTTCCGTGTGTTCACCAAGATATAATTAATGCACTACTTAAAAGTAGAAACTAAAGTGATGATAGAAAAATATCCAACTTCTGACCATAATTTTTATTCAATGTTAATATATGAAATGATGATTTATTTCACTTTTACACATCTCCAGTTATCAAAAGTTGGGCCTAACCTAGTGATTAGGATGCCAGCGTTGTGAATCTTATGATTCACGGTGTTCCATCACTGCAAAAATATGCTACATATTTTGAAACTATGGGTGCACTTGGGATGGGCATTTAACTCATTTGATTATTTTCAAGTAAAATAATTGGTTAATTGAAATTAGTGTGTGTGATTATTGCAGTTTTAGATTATTCCAACTATCCAGTAAACAAAATATTGTCATTATGATTTCCCATTATTTTGATTAATTCAAGTTTGTTCAATTTAATTTATTAGTGCTAGGACTAATCAACTAATTAATATTAGTGTTTCCAATTATTAGTCTTCAATTTTTCCAAGTATCCAAGTCTTATGTGAGAAAACAATTAGTTGAATGTGAATAATGAGTCTTATGCTTATCAAATTTGAATAATTGCCCGGCTCTAGTGAACTATAATAATGACAGTGAAATCCCACTATTTAGCCAGAAAAGAGAAGCCCAAGAGTTGGGAGTATGTCCAGCTTTATCATGACATTTCTCCAGAGTTATGGAATCAGGCTCTCATTGGTCTTAACAGTTTCGCTTGAGCCAACATTTGACATGGTTATCCAAACTAGTTAAAAGAGCACTAGTTGAGAAACTGTATTTCAATAACTGAGCCAACAGACCCAGTCTTCCAATAGCTTTATAAATATCCACACACATATGCAGGCGGAGGTTCGGTTAAACCCCCTATTTTTGCAATGTAAAAAATTATGTTTATATAGTTATAGCTCAGCTGATATAATACAATTTTTTATTGTTTTTGTATTCCTGATTTTTGTGGTATTTTAGTGTTAGGATTGTGTTCTGATACTTCAGCTCCAGATTGGGATGGAATTTCTTTTTATATTGTAATTTTTGTATTATGTAGTAGTATTGAAGAAGTAAACTTGCCTGTGATTTATGTCAATACCTTTTTAATTTCTTTGTTGTGAGGGTGGCATCTTCATATGGAACTCTTTTTTTTTTTTCATCCTTGTTCAGGTACACATTGTTGGCTAGATGACTTTCAACATCTTTCTGAGGAAACTAATATGGATGTCTCTGAATGGGCCAACGATCAATATGATTTCTTATTGGCTGACATATTTTTCAGTGTTATAAAAGCATTTGAGTGCAGCTGCAGAAGTACAAATATTTAAATTATTACATTTTCAGTGTTGTGTCCTTGTTTCATTTCATCCCATGACAAATTTACCAGGTTCTGTTGTATCAAATTCACAAAATATAAAAAAAAAAAGACTTTTTAAAGGTGATATCATAATAGCATAATTTTAAGTTAAAACTGAAACAACTCCACCAAAATTGGAGTGGTTGGTATTTTTCTAAGTTTAGTGATTATGAATCCTGGGAAGGACAACAGTTTCAACTGATATAATATGTAGTTGCAATTCATCTTTATGGATGGTATCTTCTAAGGAGTACACTTTTGTTAAAGTTCAGAATCTCACAAATATACATAAACCAGTAATAAAAGATAAGAAACATCACTTTCAACTAGTATCAGTTGTAAGACCAGCTCTGCATAATATTCAATATATTGAGATAGACATCTTGTTTGTCAGGGACTGGGCAGCTTTCACCTAATGATCATTGTACTTTTTCTCTGTATGTTTTGGCTGTCAGGTGCAGTTTTTTTTTATTAGATACAATAATCTATTTTTAACATTTCAAAAGAGCAGTTTCAGTTAACAATTATAGCTTATCTCCTTCATATGTTTTAAACTCATCATTTCTGAAACTGGCACTTTTTATTACAAGACATTTTTATGTGATTGGAAAACCTTAAAAAATAAAAAACATTTTTTTCTCTAATTTCAGTGCTTGATCAGCCATTGTAGGCAAGATTATATAAGTAATTTACATTATGATTATGCGAGTCCGGTCCTGATCAGTGTATAATACATGCTTGTTCAGTCTCTGCTTATTTTGAACAGGAAATTACTGTGAGAATGGTTTAGTTAGCAGTTTCTCTGGACATATATACAATAGAACACACCCAAGTCTAGCAGCTACAGATTTTGACTTCACATCAACTTTTCCCACCAATCACACTAGATCAGAAGGGAAAAGTTGCAGAACAATTTCATGTTTTCATTAATAGTTTGTAAGTTAGTTTTAATTACTTGCAAAGAATTTGCCACTGATTTGATTATTCCTGATTCACCTTATCTTACTAGTATATATAATAAATAAATAAGCACTAAACTAAACACACATGTATATTATACTTATTCTCTAGCCTATATATTTTACTGTGATGATTAGGCCATCTTGCAGTTCACATTCCTTTTTGGATAATCAAGGTATGTTAATGTAGCAAAAAGATAAGTTCAGGTAATGTCAGTACTGCATTCATTTTATCAGTAATTAACAATACAAAAGTTTTGATTTTTTATTTCCAGGTTAACAATACACATCACAAAGCAAACTTGAATAATGTCACATTATGGTCAAAGCCTAACAACATTTACACAGATTTAGCTTTCAAGGCACATTCAAATTAACATCAATGTAATTACATTACTTTTTAATGGGTTCCATCTGTTGTTCACTTACAAACTTCAACCAATAATTAACATTAATATCAGTACTAAGATTAGGTACTCAAAATATTTCATGACCTATGACAAGTTACCTGTTCCTTCAAAATGGGAAGAAGAGTGAAGCATGGTTCATTGTTGATTAGCTACAATATTAAAAAGCTAACCTGAAGTAGAAATTATAGTAAGTCATATTAATAAAGTTAGTACAACAGTTTACATTAACCTACATTGAAAAATCAAAATGCAAGGTGAAGATTTGATTTCATTTGCAAAATTTGTTTTCCTAAAATTACCCAATTGTTTCATGTCAAAATAAATTTTTGTGCTGGATTAAGTGGAAATTTCAAGTAATGTACTTCTTTAACACATGCACATTCACTAATACAAAAACAAGGAATATTCTAGTGTTTCTTTTCATTACCAAACAGGCTAGTATATCAACTGAATGTAAATATTATGAATCATATTCACACTACAGTACAGGATTAATATTTCAGACCCTTTTATTTAGTATTACATAAAAAATAAATTAATGAATATACTTCAACTTGAGGAACAGGATATTTCGTGTGATCTTCTGAACATGAAATCCTATACATTATGATCAACTCTTAAAAAATATTATGTTGGTCCAAAATAAATGTATCAAAGCTTGTAAAATGGATTTGATCAAGTCTACAGATAGAAAAAATGTATTTAAAAAAAAACAGCACATATAATAAACACACATGGAATAATAAATGATGTGGAAATACTCATGGACAGTAGATATACTACCTTCCAAAGTCTCACAGGATACTACAGATAAGTTCTGATAAATGTTGCTAAAGCACACAGTATACTAGAAATACTACTTTTTTTATGGAAAAAGAAGTAAAATCTATAATGACATTGACTAGATCACTACTTTCAAGGATGGCCTAGCTAAATTATATATATTAAAGTGTAAATGGGTACTTAAGGCATGTCAGGATAGAGTCCTGCTAAATGATACTTTCATATGCAAAGTACTAGTTTGGTTTGAATTTCGTGCAAAGCTACAAGAGGGCTATATACACTAGCCATCCCTAATTTAGCAGTGAAAGACTAGAAGGAAGGTAGCTTGTCATCACCACCCACAGCCAACTCTTGGGCTACTCTTTTACCAACGAATAGTGGGATTGACCATCATATTATAATGCCCCCACAGCTGAAAGGGCAAACATGTTTGGTGGGATGGGGATTGTGAGTCAAGCACCCTAACCACCTGGCAATACCGAACTGAGTAAATGTACTAATGATACTACCTTATAAATTATGCAAACTTAGATTAGGGTACCAAAGATTTGACATAAAGAGATATTTCTTATATGTAGTGCCATACCAAGATCAAGACATGTTTATCCCATAATAAGCAAAGTGTAAAACTTCTTATTTGGCACATAAAATCAACAAGTAATACCTTCATACAGAAAAAAACAAACTTGTTTTATCTGACTATGAAAACAGAATCTTTAAATGCTCTGATACTTTCTCAAATCTGTAATCACAGTGACAGAGTTTAGGGGAATACTTTCATGTAGAAAAATACATACTTTATAAAATACAAATGTTTTACTGTTGCTTCAAATCTGTTAAAAAAGAACAATGATTATGGAAACTGGAGTTTCTGTTAATATTTCATTTTCTATACATATGAAAACAAAAATATTCACTAATAGTATTAGTTAGAAAACTACAGTATAAGGCAATAATAAACTATATTCTTTTAGCTTCATGTAATTCAACAAATTACATAATTCTTATATTCCATCTCAAATACAAAAAAACTGTTGAGTTTATAAATATGAAATTCAGAAAGTTTGTACAACACAGTACTTTGAAACACATTCTATTACTACAGAACTTGATAAAGACTTGGATAAATTCAAATTGTAAGTAAACTGGTATGATTGAAATGCATGTTAAAATAATCATTGTAGATGGAATAGTACAATAAAAAAAGAGAAAAAAAATTCCAAAGGGTCCAAGTTTTGGCAATATTTGTGTATTCACTTTCAAGTTACATCAGTATTGTTATAAGTGCATTTGAAACACAAACATTACAATTTCAGTACAATAAGTGGTCATGAAGGCTAGTTGAAAAAATAAAAATGCTACATGAGAAAAGTCAAAGTGGTCAGGACAAGAATTACATATTTTCTTTTCCAAACTCATTCTCAAAATTTTTCTTTTTTTCATGACATGCAGAATCAAAAATATATATTTCCCACTGGAAAAAAAAAGAACTCCTTCCTCATTTTTCAAGAAACTTCAAAATGCTACTATTTCTTAAACTATCACAAAATCAGATGATTATAGTCTTTCTCTATTACACAACTCAGCAACTAACAACACATTAAAGTAAGAAAAAAAAACATAACTATCAACAAACTAAGGTTGGTGACTAGTTGAAGGTCAAACGAAACAAGATTAATGTTTTTATCCATGAAAAAAAAAATAACTGTATGAGAATCAATGTGAAGAGAGAGCAATGGTGACTTTCACATCACAGCACTTCAATATTACTTCACAATTAGCAGGATATTTTACTCCACTTGAATCTAATAACTACTGTGAAACTTCATTCTGAAATGTCTGATTCCACTGCTGAGTGACCCTAATGAAGGTAGTACGTCTAGGAAGTTCTTTAAGTTTGGAAGCTCCTGTGTAAGTACAGGCAGACCTTAAACCACCCAGGATATCCAAGACAGTTTGCTCTACATCACCCTTGTAAGGAACTTCAACACTCTTCCCTTCAGAAGCTCTGAAATTCAAATGAGAAGTCTACTTATCCATTAGCAAAGTTTAAAACATTTTATAAAAATCTTATAGTTGGCACATCAGAAAACAGAGGATAACAGTCAGTAACTAACAAATATAAGAATAAAATTTAATAATTTTTCTTTATTTCATCCACCTTTGTATTAAATAAAGCTGTTACATTACATAAAAATATCTTTCTGCATATCACTGAGAAAGCTTGTTTATGATGGTCAACAATTAAATGATTGACATTTCTGTATCTAAATTTTAAATGTGATTATAAATGCAAGCAACAAATTGAAACTTTAGGTTCTAATATTTCACATGCATTTACTGTACAATTAAATATTTAAGAAACCTGCATACAGACAATGATATACATTCAAGAATGCCATTATAACGTTATGGTCTGTTACTGAAATTTAGCAGTCTTTCACAGGCTGACAGCACTGCATCTGAACAATCATTTGTAATAAAAAATCCCAAGAAATGATTAATAACTGTGTCTACTGTTACCTTTAATAAATTTTTACACACACAAAAAGACTGAAAGCTCTATGTCTGTGCCAAAAAATGTAATAAATATACATCAAATTCCTGACAGCTTTATGGTGTATAATGTCTAAGCTGGCAAAACATGATCTATTAGTTAGTAACTTATGTAACTTTACATTATAATAAGACTAATAATAATTGTAATCACAGCCCTCTTTGCTACTGTCTTATAGTTAGAGGGATAAAATAGTATTTCAAATACACTGAGTTATTTATGCTATTGCTGATAACACCCAGCTTTCATTCGAAACCAAAGCTCCTCAGGCAACTGGATACAACAAAGTTTTTCTGGACATATTCCTTGTGACACATATTCATATGAAATGAAGTCAAGGACATATTGATAGTTCATATTATTCAATAAAACCATGCAAGGACTGATGCTTAGTCTGCTGATAATGATGAAGTCTTTTAGACAATACTAGAACTCATCAGGATAGATGAGTTACAGCACACAGTCTTAGTTGAAATATCATTTATTTGTTTGTTTATAGTTAACCACAATCCTACACATTGGGCTATCTGTGCTGTGCCCACCATAGGTATCGAACTCTGGTACCTACACTTCACATGAGGACTTTAAAGTTTGAAACCTCTTTAGTTAAAATAAAAGTACATTCGGATACACTGTCATTGTGGTACCGACATACCATAAAAGAACATTAAAGTTTGAACCTTCTTTAGCTAAAATAAAAGTACATTCGGATACACTGTCATTGTGGTACCGACATACCATAAAAGAACATTAAAGTTTGAACCTTCTTTAGCTAAAATAAAAGTACGTTCAGATACACTGTCATTGTGGTATCGACATACCAAACAAAAACATTAAAGTTTGAACCTTCTTTAGCTAAAATAAAAGTACATTAAAATACTCTGCCACTGTCGTACTTGCATGTCACGTGAGTAGATTAGCCTCTGAAACTTCTGTAGTTAAATTAACATATATTCAGAAAAATTGCAACATGGTCCATACCACAAGAAGACTACTGTTTTAAGTTGCATTATTAAGTTCTCCTATACATAATTAATTACTCATCTCACAATGACATCCTAGTTTGGAACATCAACAATAAATTTCTCCCATATTCAGCAACAAACAAACCACGGTATTCAGTCAGTATTGAATACAAAATATGTCTGACACAAATAAATTAAACCTATCAAAAATTCCACTATACTTTGCTATCAAACAGAAAAGTGTGAAAAATTGTATTTTGCAAACCACTATATTAGTTATGATGGACAGTGAAGTGTGACACCTTTAGAGCACAAATCACCTGTATTCAGAGTAGAAAGCTATAAAACAGACAGTGAAGTGTGAAATCTTGTATTTAGCATACTGAGCTATCAAACAAACAGTAAAATATAATATTTATTTAACTATATTCAGCAACACTGCAAGTATGGTATAAAGTCAGCACAAGTTCATTTGTAGTCTACACAACAGTGCTATCATACTCATATTTTATCAAGTGAGAACAGTAAAGTTGAACATTCTTTGAAATTAGTCTCAGCATCACACTACTATCATATTAGTTAGTCAGGATATAATGACAATAATTCAAGTTTTCGTCAAAGTAGAATGACACTTCAATAACAAATACTATAACATTACTAGAAATATTTCCAATGCAAGACTTTGTCACTACACACACACACACACACAGATTGGTTTGGTTGTTGTTAACAACAAAGCTGCACAATTGGCTATCTGTGCTCTAACCACTGCAGGTATCAAACCCTGATTTTTAGCATTGTAAACCTGCAGACTTACCACTAAGCCACTGTAAGGGGACCCCCACACAGACTACATTTTGAAATTTAAATTAGTAGACCCACCTGTACTCAGCAACTCCACCATGATACATTTTCATAGCTGTAGCTGAACTCATTCCATAGAATGATTTTACTTTTCTTCCATTCTTCTCTGTGATATCTCCACCTGATTGATCATGTCCAGCAAACATTCCTCCAATCATGACAAAGTCAGCCCCAGCACCAAAAGCTTTCGCCACATCACCAGGACAGGAACATCCTCCATCCTTAGTTTAATGGATAAAAAATTTTTATGATGTCATTAATATGCAAGTTATGTACTTTTAGCTAAGTAATTAAAATAAAGTAGCAAGTTAAGTTATGTAATTAAAATATTATCACATATGCAACAGCTTGACATTTTTTTTAACTGAACATATTTTTATAGCCAATTGATCCTTGAACATAATGACTATTTTGGATATATCCATTTTGATAGTGCGTAATTTATTTAGAATATGTACAGCTCATATAAGGTGAACTTATAAAAAGAAAATGTTTTCACTACTAATGCACTGATAAAAGCTCCAAATACATTAAAAGTATATGTTCACTAATTTTAACAGAAAATAATATTTGACAAAATAAAATTACATACAATATGTAATATAAAAACCAAACAAACTGAAAACTGACATCAAGTTTTCTTGGAAAAAAAAAGACACTACAACTTTTAGAAAATATATGCATCAATAATTGGACTCATTTTTTACTTTTTCATTAAAAAACATAAATAATAATAATAATAAAAACTCAAGTGCATTCAATTATGAATATAAAATTAAATATAAAAGTCAAACTTTCATATTTACAAAAGTAGTACAGAACAGAAAAAGAAAATTTTATTTCCCAAGTTTATTTGTATATTTGAATTTTACAAGTGTTTTAAATTCATTAGAAATTCACACCATACTTACAAAGACAATGTTTCAACCACATCTACAGGTACACCAGTTTGAAATATTTGGCCACTGAGCTAATTCATATTTGTAATTTTCTATCACCTTTTGGTTTTATTAGAAAGTCAACATTTTCCCACACTGAAAATGTATTTCTGATAGTAACTTACCTCCTTTCATACAATAGTTTTTCTTGACTTCTGTTTCCCTCTATTTGCACAATTTCTGCTCACTACTAACCTTGATGCTCCCATGTGAATTCACATGGTATAGCTGTACTGTAGCATGCAAATGAGCATGTGAAAACCCTCCACCAATAAGAATGCAACACACTCTCCTATTGCAGTTGACTTCCTCTATACTGTAGAGCACCTTTATCATTTTGAGATTAGACAAAAAAGATGCACCAGAAGTGGAGAAGATGGATGGGAAGTGTGAGCAGAAGTAAGTAAGTAAGTATCTATCTGAAATACATTTTCAGTATAAGAAAATGTTAACTTCTGACATGATACCTTACCTCTTCTCACATAATAGCTATAAGCCCACACTGAAAGAGTGGAGGGACCGGTGTAAAAGTCACCAAGATGAGCATTCTTTGGGAGGCCCCCGAAGAGAAACCATGTAGTGTGACACCCTAATAGGTTCACACTCATGGGAGACTGTACCCCATCCGTAACAGCTATACTCTTTGCCCATTATCAAGATACATGTCACTAAATTGGGCAGAAAAGATGCACATCCAACCTATAATTGAATACGCAAGATGATGTAGATTGGCTAGGGCATGCCAGACAGGCGGCATTGGGTATTTATCTTCTGGTCTGCAGTAGGATGAGGGTCCCATCCATCTTCACTTCCAAACCAGGAAGCAGAAGTGAAAAAATAACTTCTATTCCAACAACCCAGCCAGGGCACATGTGCAGACACAGTACACAACTAGCACCACACCACCCAGAAACCAGACATCTGCATAATAGTAGGAAGGGGAAATACAAACATGGTGGGTCAACTCCAGTCCAAAACCAGGTGGTCTCAAGAATTTTTCGTCCATTCCATGGTAGAAGGATGGTCTCTACCAACCACATGTGTAAGGACTTATGTTGGCTGGTCCTATGTTGTTCCAACACCAGACTGTCCAGAAATCAACATCAAGATAGCAGAAGAATGGAGGAAAGCCAGCTGGAGGAGTGAACTGCATGTGGTGGATTCATCCAATTCCAAAAACAGGTAGCATTGGGTACTCCCCATCTACACCAACAGAACACCATCCCCCTACTGAATTGGTCACACTTAGGAGGAAGCTTCCATGGTCCACCTCCCAAGTGGCAAGGATTTCCATACTCTACTGGGATAGGGAGAGTAACAACAGAGTGGAGAGTCTGGAGAATGCAGCACCATAAGATAGTGCAATGGGTGACCATGAAAAACATATTTTGAAAAGCAAGCTGGTACCGATTTATTCAACTAGAGATGAGATGGGCAGTGATCCTGACATTGCTTTAATCACGGTAGTTCATGAGTTGGTATGGTCTGGTGCGGGCCTTACTTATGAAGCAAGATACCATAAGGAAACCTCCAGCAGTCTTATGGAACACCCCATCTTTTTAGTGAGTGTTATAGACCTGTATGGCCATATGGTGTGGATTTATATTTAAGTACACCTGGACAGGCACCACCTACCACAGAGATAGATCTAGGAAAGGATAAAGGGCCACTGTAAAAAGAAGAAACAAAAAGTAAGTACTTACCCTTTCAGAGTCAAAATGAGGTATGGATAATGGTGAAAGGTGGCAAGAGATGGACAGATGAGGAGAAGATAGTCAAATGATGCAGCTAGTCAACAATAAATGTGTGAGATGTATTCTACATGCCAGCCTGCACAATCTCTTCCAATGTATGATGGAAGTGGCAGCCAGGGAAAATGTAAGATGACAGATCTGGTGGGAGGAAACAAGGAAAATATGACAAGAATTTCAAACAGTGATGCATAAGTGAGATGAATAAGCTGGTAAATCCATCCCGTAGGGGTGAGAGGAGAAAGATCATGAGTAGAGGAGGAATTCCAGTGTATAAAAAGATGGAAACAAGAAAAATAGAAGGAAAATGTGAGGGTGATATAACAATGAAGAGCCCATAATGGACAAAGAAGATGATCTGGATCAAATCTGGAATACAAATGAGAGATGGAGGGGAAGAAAATAGGAGTGAAGGTTATGTTCCCTTCACATACTGCCAATGTTTGGGGGAAAAACTATGATCCGGATAAAGGAGAACATAAACATGGTGATGGAGAATAAGGGAGACTTCGATAGCAAAGATATCAGACCTACAGTGTCCACACACAAAGAGGAGTAAGAAATACTTTTTG